TGAAGCCCAAATAAGACTTTTCAAATTCCTATTTGTTTTCAAATACGTCACTTTTTTTTTAACTTTGAAACCCCCTACTATGTATACTGCATTAGCAAGTAAATTCTGTAACAAAGTCTTTGCAATAAAATCATGATAATTCTAATGAAATTAATCAACCTTCATGTATTGTGGTAACTGAATAGCGAGTAAATTTTATGACAGAATTTTTTACAATAATTTTTGGTAAAGTTATATTTATTCTAATATTAACTCAACTTTAACCACTGTGCAACTACATCAGTAAAATCAATAACTGAATTCCTTATGGTAAACTATGATAGAAATCCTGATAATATAATGAAGCTTATTCAAATTTATGTGTATTACAATAGATAATAAGTTCTGTAATAGAATTTTTAACACTAATAAATTAAAAAAATGCCAAATAAGATGGGTGGCGCGAGTGCGCCACCTATCGCACTAAGTAAAAAATAATATGTAAAAGCTACAAAATAAACACAAAAATACTTCTCATCATCATTAATACAAATCTTTATCTGTCTTATTATAAATTATAGTAAATTGATGAAAATTTGAAAATTTCATTACAATATGATATAGCATACTCTACTCTAACTCCCTTTAAACAACTCAAACGCATAGTTTAAAAACACAAATATTTTTTGACCAATTTTACATATAATTCGTATATTTTATAACTTCAATTTATAAATATATATCATTAATTTTGTAATTTTCTTTGAAAAATTTTATTAGCTGCTAAGATATTATTAACATTAACTATATTATTTATGCTTTAAATATATTTAGCAAAATTATAAAGGATAGCTAAAACATAATTTCAATTTGATGGAAGATCAGGAACGATACCATCTGTTAATGCAGAAAATTATAATCAGTTTGAGTATACAGATACTTTTGCTTCTTTTCTCCTAATAATTCACTTACCTTCGAATTCAATACCACATTTGAAAGCAACACCAACTTTCGTTTTATCAATAAGAGATTGGTCAATTCCCATCGAAGCAAGTAAATTTAAGGCGAGATAATTATTATTAAGGAAATTAAATAGAGTATTAACTATGTCTTTGTTACACCGTGTACAGATTATTTTTGGGACAGAAACAATAACAGCATCTATAATAGCATTATGTGTGATATTAATCGGAGAATTTGGTAAATCTAAGACGACCTTAGCAGTTTCATCTTTACAATATTTATCTTTATCTATAACTTTAAAACATGTTATGTCTCTCACAGGAGAAAAGAAAACGGCAGAGCCAAAAGCAATTTGTGCTGTTGTGTCTTTTTCTTTTAGATCCTCGTTACATCCATCTTTTATAGTATTAATTGCACCTTGGACACTTTTATTAGAACATTTAGGGACCCCACAGAGAATATCAGAGAATTGATCTAATTGAGGAAGATAATCTAGAAGCTTTTTGGGATTTTGCTTAATAGAACTAAAAAAATTAGGGTCAGTAATTATAGGTAGAATTGGTAAAATAGCAACAAGTGGGATACAATTTAAAATTTCAGGGTTGGTAATAACCTCTTGCAATGCACTTGCGCAGTTTTTTGATAAGTTAAGGGGTACATTATCTAATATTTGTAAGGTTTTTGGTGGGATTTTTGACGCAATATTTGGTGGAATGGTGGATCCTAAGCTTGTCAAAGCGAGGAATACAATAATAACAAAAAATTTCTTCAACAACATTTTCAATATAAAAATAAATTAATTTTATTATCTGAAAAGAACTCTTTGCTTTAAGGCGAAGACTATAAAAAGTGTTGTGAAAAATCGTTTATATAATTTTTTTCTGCCAAGGTTATTTAAATATCTAAAATTTTTGTTCATTCACAACTTATTATAGATTACTAATTTTGTCAGTAGAGCGTGAGATGAACATAGATGACACCAGGCACATCATAAAAAGTACGCGTGAGGAACGGAATGAAACGATAGTTTTATGAAGAATATGATGTATACTAATCCGTAATCTGATCGGAAAATTTCACGAGTCAACGTTCTTCATTCGAGCAATGCCATGTATAAATGTTGCTTCAATAATAATATAAAACTTGTATAATTGGCATGACATAAAACGTACAAACGTACTAGTGATGGGAAAAATTTTATAATAACATGCGCATGAATGCGCATTAATGCACACTTTATATAAAATGCGCATGATATCGCATGATACAAATTTTGGAATTTATATTTTCCCTTCGAAAAATATCGGATACGAGCTCAAATTTTTATTCCAATCTTGCTCTTCTTTTATTTTCATTCATTTTCTTTTCGGAATTTTTCGAGACTTTTGTATCCATATTTTTTAATTCCGCCCGATACTACGCTCTCTGGCCTAAATTACATATACTTTAATATTCCTATATAAAATTTAGATGGGATAAAATGCGTATGATTCCGAAACATGCGCATGAATGCGCATTAGTGCGCACGATTAAGGAATCATGCACACGCATGAAACCCATCTCTAATACGTACGAATATGTCTTGGCATTGCAAGAATTGAATAACCCTCGGGATCTTATTATAGAATAAATTCGAATATCTATCAACAATCTAAATAAATAGTAACATTTCCCATATCATAGATTACACTATTCAGAGGCGTCAATTATTAGAAGAGATCAGATTGATGCATCTTTCATAGTCACAATGGATAGCTTAGCATTTACTATCACACTATATTGTTATTCATATTAATTACGTTAATTTAATTGGAAAATACCGAACTTTAATTTTTATTCAGTGCATTTATCATATTTTACCAGGAACGGAGTGATATTGAAAATTTCACGAAGTGTATGGTTATATGGCATTTTTAATGGTGTATGACCGCAAAATCTCATGTAAAAACGAAATTCATCACATGCTACCATATTTATATCTTGTATGAGATTTGTTTACCATGTTTTTGTCTCGATTAAAGTGCATGACGATCATTTATAAAAATGCGCTTGTTTTTTATTATTGTGTTTCAGAATTCACTAGCCAAATGCTGAAATGTGGATTTTTTTTAGAGAAAAGTCTTGAATCTAAGCTGTAATGACTGAAATCAGTTCACATGACTCTTTCTTCATTGCATAACGATAATGTCATGAAGAAAATTCTGATGCGTATCCAGTGCTAGATAATTTATAAATACCCGTATTTGTATTAGGTTGAGTAATGCTAACTATGCATTTCATAGTAATCCATTTGTATTCGAGACTTTGCTGA